GCCCTGCTCGGGTGCGCCCGCGCCCCGCCCTCGCGCCGCACCCGCCGTCGGCCCCAGTCCGGGGCCCTCCGCCGCCCGCACGGCGCGGCGCGCGTCCGGCGCCCCCCCGCTCGCCCCGCGCGGCCGCGCAGCAGCCATCCCCTCCCCACCCGTGCGTACGACGGCCCCCGCAGCAGTCCGTCGCACTCCAACCCCAAGCCGCCGCCGCCGCCGCCGCCGCCGCCGCCGCCGCCGCCGCCGCCGCCGTTTTGGCGCCTGGCCCGGCCGTTGCCGCCTGTGAAGAACTCCTTGGCCGCCACGAGCGTGCCCTGCCAGTCCATTAGGTAAACGCACCCCTCAGCGCCTTCCCCAAGCACGCGCACGTGCTCCAGCTCGCACGAGGGGATGAGGCTCGTCTGGCCGACCAGCAGGCGGCTGGCGCCCCTCAGGCCCTGCAGCGGGCCCGCGGGGGCCGGCTTGCCCGTTGGGGGCGTCGCGGGCGCCGCCGGGTGCTGCTCCTGCTGCTGCTGCTGCTGCTGCTGCTGCTGCGGCGGCGGCGGCGGCGGCAGCGGCAGCGGCGGCGGGCGCCCTCCCTGCTGCGACCGCGGCAGCTGGTCCCGCTGCTGCCGCGGCTCGCGGGGCGCGGGGCTTTGCGCCGCCGGCTTCGCCGCCTGCTGCCGCTGACCGCTGAAGCGCCGGGACACCTGCTGCTGCAGCAGCCGCGCGCCGCCGCGCGCCGCCGCCGGCGCGTCCGCCGGCCGAGTCAGGCGCGCCATCACGGATCCGAGCTCCTGTGGCGCACGGGTGACGATTGGGCGGCAAACGGTGAATGCAAACGCTTGCAGGCGGCTCCGATGCCCGTGTGTGCCGATAACCAGCTGAAACACTTGGCCTGTCAACCTGGAATTGACCGCCGAGTGTGGGGCGACTCACCTGAAGCTCTGACTTCAGCCGCCACCCTGAGCCGGCGGAGAGCCAGCGCGCGAGCACGTTCCCGCCGCCGCGGCCGTTGCCACCGCCGCCGCCGCCGACGGTCCCGCGGCCGTGACGGGCGGCCGCGGCCGTGGCGGCGCCGAGCGCGCGCTGCAGCTCCCGGCCCGCCCCTTCGACGCGGCCGAGCGCCGCGGACTGTTGGTCTTGGGCCTGCGTGAGGCGAGGCGCGCGCGGTTGAGCGTCGCGTCGCCGCGCGCGGCCATGCAGCGCGTTGACGACCCTTTCGCGCGACCCCTCGACACGGCCACCCGGCCGGTGCCGCCGGGCCCAAACTTTCGCGCGCACCCTGCTCTCCAAGTCCTGCAGCAGCGTGGCGGCATCCTGCAGGAGCTTCTCAAACTGCGGGCCGAGCGCCGGCCCGGCCGCTGCCGCCGCCGCGGACGCCTGTTCGAGGGCAGCGTGTGCGCCTCGCAGCTGCGCCTCCCCGGCCATCCAGCCGGCCGGGTGGCCACCCGTGCGACAAGGAGTACACGCGTTCAACTTGAGGTGTTGGTGCGCTGCACGACTGCTGTCACTTGCGAATGTGCGCAAAGCAACTTTGCGGGTGCCCCTTCCGCACTTACGCAATCATGGTTCTGCAACGGCGAATAAAACGATACTATAGATCGTGATGAACTTGTCAGCACGTGCTGGTTTGCTAACTAGTTGGTTGTGACGGCGAGGCCGGCGGGTGACCGTACTGGAGCTGCTGGCGCGTGACCGACGCTGCAGTGCAGCTGTGTGTGCCGCGGGTCTGGTGGACGCATGTGATATGCGCTTTGGTGTCCATCCCCTGGTAAAAGACGTGAAAAATTGCTCCTGAACAGGGCGTTGTGATGATGGCTGCTGCACACAGAGGGCTTGCATAGCGGAGGTGGCCTGGCTTAACGAAAACCGGATGAGGGACACTGACAGGTGCTGGAAGGAAGGACGTTGGCTGTCCGACCTTCGGCGCATCTGGGTCGCACCACAGGCCTGGGCGCACAACAAAACCAGCCCTGCCAAAGCCTGACCGTGCCGCCGATGTAGAGGGAAGACTCAGAGAGCTATGCGAGGGCTGGGTTTGACGCTCCCATGTGATCATCCGGGGCCAACACGCTGCACATGACACAGCACGCATGCGCGGCACCGATGCATGTTTGCACTCTGCCCGTGGTCAGATTATGGCACTTGCAGTTGAACCATCCGGCAGGAAGGGCTAGGCCTGCCGGGATTGCATGCACAGTAGAGCACAGCCGGGCCTTCGTCACTCGCCCAGCCGGTGAGCCTGTTGCTCCGCACACAAGGCTGAGCACTCACAGCATTTGCAGGCACTGTGACATCCGCTCTGGTGTCGGCGAGCACGTGTTGCACTTCACCGTAGGCAGGGGTATGTTGCACTGCAGGCGGGCAGCGTGTGCAGCGCGCCCATGTGCTCGCTGCGCGTCCAGCGAGTGAGTGGGTGGAATGCGCGGCCATAGCGTCGAGCGGGGCAAGTCTTGTCACAACGTTGTTGAACGAAATATACCAGGACTCCCACAGGCCACGACACTGGCCGAAACCGTGCCGGAGTGATCTCTTGTGTCACATCAGCGCAGGATTACGGCTCCCTTCGCTCTCGCAAATGCGCGCATGCATTACCATCTCGCGGAGAAAGGCTCGGGGGCTGCAAGGGTTGCGCCGGATGCAGCAGCGGCGGCAGCGGGTTGCTCGTCCAGGGACACCGCCGCGCTCCCGCCATCTGAGCCGGCTGAGGCTGATGTCGTCACAGCAGGCCCTCTGTAAGCCGATGCAGCCGCGCATGAGCGCAGGCGATGCACAGGGTCACTGCCTCGCCATATGATTTGACGTCCCGTCCCTTCCACGCCGTCAACCCTGCCTGGCTGCACCCACACACCGCAGCTGCGTGGATTAGGAACCAAATCAGGATCGTAGGGCGACTGTGCAGCACGCGCCCTCCGCACGCCCCCGCACCCGTCTCAAGAACTTCCGCAACCGCTCCCACCCCCAAGGCTGAGGCTGAGCGACCCCGACTTGGAGCGGGAATTCTGGCGGGTGCACAACAGCTCGGCCGGGCTGCTATTCGACGGCGCGGGCTGCCTGCTGAGCATGTGGCTGCCGGTGAGAGGCGTGCGTGAGGGCGATCCATGGGCGCTCCAAGTGGCAAGGGTCTTGGGGGTTGAGGGCGGCGACGGCGGCGGCCCGGGCCGGCCCCGAATCTGGGAAAGGGCAGCCTGCCTGGCCCGCCCGACCCGCTGAAGCGGAGGCCCCCGCCGGCCGCGCGCGGCGGCGACCCTGGTCCCCCAGCGTCCGCTCCCACCCGTTCCCTTGTGCGGCAAAAACCAGGCAGCCGACGATCGCGGGGTGGCTCCCGGGCCGGCGGCCGCATTCATACTAGTGCACGCTCGCTCATCTGCACGCATTATCCTAGCGGCACACGCAGCTGCTCACACGCACGCACGCACCCGCACGCACGAACGCACGCACGACACACACACACACACACACACGCGCACACGCACGCACACGCACACACGGCCCCTTCAAATTTCCCTCTCCCTGGCACCAGCTGGCCTACATCCGCTCGTTCCTGTCGGCCCACCACGCCTGGCGTGAGCGCGGCCCCCTCGCCCGCTACTGTGCGCCGCACGCCGCCATCCTCTCGGCGCTCGCGCTGCAGCTGGCGCTCCTGGCGCTCGCGCCGCGCGCGTACCGCCGGCGGCGGATGGCGGCGCACTTTGCGCTGCGCGCGCTGCGGCTGGGCATGAACGTATATGGCACCCTGATTACTCGTGACGCGCTGGATTTCTGGTGGGGGATGGGGCGATGCGTGGGCGGGGGCGGCCAGGGGTGCTGCCGCGGCGGCCTTGGCCGCTTGTGGGTGGGACTGAGTAGGCCGGTGCACGCGCACTTTCTGTCTTTTGAGGTGCGTGCGTGCGGCGTGGTTGGTGCACCATGCATCGGCGCGCGGCGGAAGGTTCGCCGGTTTCTAGTGGGGAAGCAGGGCAGCCTGCAGCGCCCAGGGCAACAGCAGAGAGTAGCGCGATTCATGCTTTGGCAGCCCTGGGATGCAAGGCACTCGTTTACACATGCACCTCTCAAAGCCGCCCCCGCTCCACGCACCCCCACCCCCCGCCGCTCCCCAGGCGCGCCCAGCTGCTCGCCGGCGGCGCCTCCCCGCGCCGCTCGCTCGCGGCCACGATTTGCGGCCTGCCGCTCACCTTCCTCCTCATGACTGTTGTCAACCCTTGCCCCTTCGCCTTCCAGCCGGCACTGGGGGCAGCGACGCTCGCAACGTACGCCTTTGGGTGGTCCTCCGGCCTGCCGCTGGTCTGGCAAGACGAGAAGCTGGCGGAAGCTGCCCGCGCGCTGTGCAGGGGCCTGAGTCTTGGGCTGATTGCAGCGGATTCGGCAGCACTGGCCGTTTTTGGGTGGGTGCGTGGGTGCTCGCTCACAGGGAGGGAGGAAAATAAAGGTTATTGAAGGGTTTCAAGTCAACTCATCATGTTATCAAGACGGCTCTGGCAGTGCGCCTTCACACAGCATCCTTGTTTGGATGTGAGACAGGCGCGCTGCACAAGCAATTGCAACTCCCTTTCTTTGAACCTCCGTGACGAGCGCCGCAACCACGACCAAACCGCTCGCATCGCACCATCCGCCCCCACCCGTGCCGCAGCTGGGTCGGCCCTGGGGTCGTGGGGGTGGCCTCCCGCGCGCCCCCCTCGCGCGAGCTGTGCTGCTGCCTGCTGAGGACCCTGGCTATGGCGCTGATGCTGGCTGTCGGGGTCGCCCTGCCAAACGTCATTGGCTGGTGGGTCGAGTACCGCTCTAAGGCCCAGTTCCTGCTGCGCTCCCGCGGCATTGCGCTGCACCTGCGCTCCCGCTCGGTCGCGCGCTGCGGTGCCTGGCTGCGCGCGCGGGGCCTGCTCGAGGGGGCCCCGGCGGGCGGCTGGCCGGCGGCCGCGCCCGGGCTGGCGGCGGGCGGGGCGCTGCTGCTGTGGCGGCTGGCTGACTTGCTTGTGGCGTCCACCAGCCGTGCCTGCCGCTCGGTGTGCGCGTGACGCGGTTTGGTGTCTCATTCAAGATGCCCCGTCTCTGCCCGTGCAGAGGTACAGCAGCCTCAAGCGCCGCAACACTGACACACTTGCTGCTTGGGCGTTTGTTGTGCGCCATTGCCTCGAGCAAATAGAGGTTTGATTGTGCAAGGGAGGGTTGTTTGAACATTACAGCATCACATTGTCTGGCAGCCGTCTCGACTTGAGAGTTGTGCGGTAGACTTTGCTCTGCACTTGGCCTCGTTACGCAACCGGCCGCCCCGTCTCACCCAGGGTCATCCTCCCCAAGCGTCCGTACCGCTTCACACCAACAAACGCACGAGCCGCCGCCTCTCCCGCCTTTGCAATCCTCCACTCCAGCCTGCAAACAATGTGGCACCCTTGATGACTCGTGTGCGTGGGTGACTGGGCCTGCCGCGACGCCTCCACGCTGTGGCGCCTTGCCTCGTTCTGTCTTGTGTGCAGAACATTGGCTCAATAATACGGCGTTCTTTTCATATAGATGGATGAATAATTCAAGGATGTGGGAATGATGGCATCTCCAAGAGAGAGGCTGCATGATTGTTTGCTGCTTGCAGAAGTGCTTGTGCACACATACCTGTCACAAGCTTGATGGCTAGCATCAATGCTAGCCACCACGATACTTGTTCAGGGCACCCCCCCTCCCTGTACACATCCCATGCATAACCACCATGGCCTTCAATTGCGTGGCAGACCAAGCCTCGAGCTTGGCCAGGTGTTCAGCCTCCGCATCCCCGTCCGAAGCAGGCCCCCCTGCATCCATTCAGCACACTCGCGCCCCTCTGCTGTTCGCTTGCTTGCGTCGGGCCCGTGCGCGCAAGCCGAGCACGGGCACTTGGCCGCGTCGGCAGCTGCCACCTTGTCACACGCTGACGTAGGCGGCACGCGACCCTTCGATCAGCTGCTGCAGGGTGCCCCGCACACGTGCGCGGCCTGCGCGACTAGGCAACTCAGGCGCAGTCAGACCAGCGCAGGCCCCCCACCTGCTCAGCAAGGACCAACGCCACTGCTGCGCCCGCAGCGCCGCCGACGCGCGCGCCTGTTGCGCTGCTGGCTGCATGTGATCCTGATTACCGCACCTTCAAAGCGCCGCAAGCGTGCCTGGCACCCGCAGCGTGCTGCAAGTGTGCATGTACGGCACCCTCATTGAGAGTATGTACGCTTGAGCTGTGACGTTCACGCGTGCTTTTGGTCTGTGCCTGAGTCACACCACACATGCGTTCAGGCGGAGGCACATGCGTGCAGCAGACCGACCCCGGATGATGATCTTCACCATACTCGGTAGGATCTGCAGCGCACCCCTCCCGGTAGGATCTGCAGCGCACCCCTCCCGGTCCTGCAGACATGTGACGCTCGTTTACACCCAAAAAAACCCAGGACGAGATCACGTGTACATTCAAATACGCTCTTGCCTCCAAACATGCATCGTGTTTGCCAAAAAAAACCACCAGAGCGCGAGAAGCCGCCACCTTGACCGCCGTTTTGACTTTCGTTTTGCGCGCCCGCCCAGATTGGATTGAATTCGCTTCGTGACTTGCGTATGCGACGTGAAAACTGAACAAGCTGGTTGAATCACACAGCTTGGTGAAAATGCACTTGAGCAAGGCGCAATGCAAACCCCATTGCACCATTCCCCTGCCCAGCCTGAGGCGGGCACATGTTGAAGGGTGGACCGGCTTATGGGACGTCGTTCGCAGGGTGCACCGCGTCGCAAAAACAGCACAAATGGCTGGTGTGCGCAGCATAGTGGGACCGGGGGCGCTGCCGCGCCCGAGCGTGCGACACCGTCACACTACCCCCAGCCGCGCATGGGGCTGTGACGTATAGTCTTGGGCATCCATCCCCGCCGCCGAAGCATCCCCGCCGCCGCATTGCCTCCGGGGTATGGCGTGCGGACGCCCATCTAGAAATTGTTCGCCTCATCCCACACTCGCAGAAAGGAAGTGGGCCCGTCATACCTTAGAAGCAGCCATGTTTTATGCAAGAAGGTGTGCAGCACACGACCAAGCCGTGCACTGGCGCCGGCCGGCACGCAGTTGGCCAGGGCGCATATATGAGTGGCGCACGCACGCGTCCAGCAGGCCGCGTCTCGTCTGTCAAAACATGCATCTTAGAGGAGAAAAGTGGACTGTGCAAGAATGAGCAAACAGCGCGCTGGGATGGCTGGTGCTGTAGACAAAAAAGCCCACGGACACTCTGCGGCCGAGACCTGATCATGAAGTGCGCGAAACTGCAGCCATGGGCGTGTGCATCGCGTGCCCCCGGCGCCCCGCGTCCACGCCCCGCGAGCGGCGAAATGCGCGGGCGCACACGCGCGCAAGAGCGCGTAGGGCTGGGATTAGCGGATGCGGCTGATGTAAGGGGCGTCCAGGCGGGGGAGGTACAGCTTGAGGAGCACAATGCCGATGGCGGAGCCGCCACCCAGCAGCAGCAGCCCTGGGAAGGGGGAATTCAGGGTACAGAGAATGAGTTGAGGGCGGCCGTGCGTGAGAGCTTGATAGTCACAGTTGCGCCATCACCGAAGCGCGCGGTTGCATGGGGGGAAGGCAGGCGGCGGCGCCCTTGACTGTGAATTGTGTGCCCTGACGGAGATGGCCGCCTCAACTTATGAATGGGGCGAGTCAAGGGCGCCGCAACTAACAAATGGGGCTGTCTGCACTATTGATGGGAACGCAGGGGGCGGGCAAGTAGCCGAAGGCACGGGCCAGCACGGGCAGGGGGCTGGGCGCGGACTCACAGAAAGCGGGCGCCAGGTTGGCGGCTTCGGCGCTGAGTCCGGCCTTGAAGGCCGTGACCACCAGAGGGGAGATTCCGCCCAGGATTCCATAGCCGGCAGCGTAGCCGAACCCAAAGCCGGTGGTGCGCTCGAGGGGGTGGTAGATCCTGCGGCGCCGACGGCATTTTCGGGGGAAGGCAAGCGTTGGCATGGGTAAGTTGGATTGCAAAGGTTGCAATGAGGAAATGAAATGAGGACTTTTGCAGGGTTGCCTGGATGCTGGGCTAGGGCCGCGCGCCCGGCGCAGGGCTGCAGTGTTTTGGGGCGGGTTGAGCCTCATCGGGCTGATTGGCACTCGCATATAGTACAACGTCAGTCTGTTTTGCGCACAGCCGCGCCTGACATGGTCGGCGTTGCGTGCGCAGCCCCTCCCTCAGTTGCACACGCTCGCAAGCGCCGCGCGCACGGCACCACTGGAAACCCGGCGCCCGGCCCTGAGCGCTGGGGCCCTCCACAACCGACCACTGCCACCCGATGCTGCCCTCCGCCACCCACTGCCGTCCACTCCCACGACCGCCCCCCACCTGGTCATGGGCAGGACATAGAGAGCCATGTAGAAACCGATGATGAGGTGGAGCACAGAGGGGGCCACCCACAGGGCCGCCAGGGAGCCGGTGCCCACCTGAAGGGGGCGGGGTGAGGTGGGAGTGAATGAACTTGTATTAGCGCAGACCGGCTTGGCCCACAGCCTCCAATGCAATGAGCCCCAAATGCCACAGACCAAAGGACCATCCGGAAAGTGTCAAGTGGACGAATCTCGTTGTGTGTGGGGGTGGACCCAGGGGAGCACACGTTTGGCCACAGCGTGTGCCAACTTGTCAGGGGCGTTGTCAGGGGCGTTGCAGGGCGCGCAGGCGGCTCATACAGTCATTGGGGCGCCCTCTCACCCAGTAGTAGAGGCCAAAGCCAGAGCCGACGCCGATGACGAGGCAAACCGCCCCCGCGGAGATTGCGCGCATGCCGTGGTCAAAGCCTGCACCCGCAATCATTGCATGGCGAAGGGCCAGTTAGCGCGCTCGCAGCCATCTCACATGCTGGTGGCGCTCTTGGTGCAGCGACGCTCGCGATTTATGTACTTTCCCTGGGCGCCTTTCTTTGACTTTCACTGTCCCCCTCTAGATATAAACTGCTGGCGAATGCCAGCAATGCCTCCCAATCCACGAGGGCACGCGTGCTCGTTGCGGCTGCACGCCCCAGTTTTTTAAGTCACGGTGTTAAGAATCATGAGAAACCCAAAGGCGAATCTCCCTAAGCGCCGCCAAGGCCCGTCCGAGGTTATGCACCCACCGTAGCCGGCAATGCTCAGGCCAATGGTGTTGAAGATGAGGGAGACGATGGTGATGGCCAGGGCGACGTTGGGGTGCAGCTTGTATGTGTTGATCAGCTGGCCGCTCAGCCAGGTCACGGCGACGAAGAACGCACCTGCAGTGACGTGAGCGGTGATGTGATTCGAGGGTTGCTGGAACAAGGCTGCAGCTCACAGTTGCTGTCAGGCCGCTCTTATGCATGCGTCTGACCAGAAAATTTTGGGAGAGAGGCCACAGTTTAAGGCCTGCCCCCCTCCCCCCCGGCAGGGGCAGAGGCAGAGGCGAGGGGCGGGGGGCAGATAAACGCACATGTGTACACGAAAGGAGACGCGATGATAATCTTTTGCCACACCAACACGCAGCTCGCTCCAGGCACCAATCACAGCAAGACACGCATCATGCCCGCGAACCAACTGGTCAACCCACCGCAGACCCAGGCGCCAAAGAAGAGGTTGCAGGTCAGGCCAAAGGCGTTGTTCCTGAGCAGGCGGAAGACGGGCACGCTGGAGCGGCTGTGGCCGTGCAGCACGGCGAGCACGCCCTTCTGCTTCGCCTCGACCTCCTCCTCGACCTCGGACTGGCTGGCACCGGACTGGCTGGCGGCGTCATCCAGGTTCTGGGGCGGCGCCCGAGGTGGCGGGCAGCAAGGGGCAAGGCAAAGGAGGCAGCATCTGCTGTCAGCTTGGAGCGGGCATCATCATTTGTGCTTCGCTGAATTTTGCCGTGAAGAACCGCCTGCTCGTGATGTTCTTGCACGTGCACCACGAGCGTCCGACCATGCAGCGACAAAGACGGGCGGCAAGGGGAGAGCGACATGTAACCACCAGATTGCTGATCACACACCTTGGACGTGGCCTTGTCGCTGATCTCAAGCTTGGCGTCAGGCTCCCCGGCCTCGCCGCCCTCGACGCCCTCGCCGGCCGCGGCGCGGTCCTTTGCATAGGCCTCCAGGAAGGTGGCTGGCTCGGGCAGGCCGCGGCGCATGAAGTATCCGAGGACGGCTGAGAAGGCGGCGAGGAGGAAAGGGATGCGCCAGCCCCACTCAAGCATCTGGTCCTTTGTGAGGGCGGCCTGGGGTTGATGAGGGCGGGGTTGGGGCGCAGGGAGTGGCAAGGCAAGGGTGTGTGTAGCCAGCGATGGGGGGTGGATGGAGCGTGGCGGAGGGTGCCTCGTTACTCAACTGACAAACACCTTGCGGGCTCTCGGGTAATGGTGTGTGCTTCGACCCTTTTCAGGGTGAATTTCGATGCAATCAGCACGATAGCAAGTAAGGCATTGCGCACACCCTCACCCGCACTCACAGGCTCTTACAGCCCCCACCCACCCACCCACCCACACACACACACACACACACACACACGCATGCAC